TGTACAGGATGTTTCACGGCCTCTGAGAGTTGTTACAACTACGTCTCTCAGTCCCACTCCGACCTACCACCACCTCTCCCACGGCATGCAGATGTGAAGTGACATGTGCGTTTGCTCTCACGAAGTTGCGATCTTCCAAAATACTCGGATCGGACAGCAGATGTGAAGTGACACGCGCGCTTGCTCCTACGAAGCACCGATCTACCTACGTTCTAAATTACACGGATCGGACAACAGATGTGAAAGCAGGAGCCCATTCTCAAACCACACCAGCAGAAGGTCTCTCTATTCTTCCTACTATGCAGACGGTACTCAGCCAATTTTGGTTCAGAAGTGCGAGCTCGCCTCCCCTCGGATTCTTCGCCACCTCATTCCAACCAGAGCGATGCTGCCACAAGGGCATGGCCCACTAGCAGCGCCACCAGCGCACCTCGCGCACTTCGACATCCGCTACAACAGCGCCAGTGGCCGCTTGATGTCAGGCAACAGCAGGCTGAGGTCGACGAGGCCCGTGCTCGACGAGCAGATCGCCCCGCTGAGCGGCATCATCTCAGCGCTCATCAGGCAGCAGACACTCGTGAACTTGTCGCTTGAGAGGCTGGCGCCCCCAGTGAATATGGAGCAGGAAGAGATGCTAGAGCGCCAGGAAGTCATCGGGAAGCTGACGAGCCAGCGCATGATACTCGCAAATGCAGTGATGGGCCTCAGGTACGGCCTGAACTTGATCCAGACAGAGGATGAATCGCTCGTCGGCCCCTGGCCCGACGAAATCAACTACGTCGAAGAGCTGGGCCTCAACAGCGGCGGCGTGGCAGCCGCTGCGGGCGCTGGGACTACCCGAGCCTCCAGCAGCAAGAAGTGAGCTCCTAGCGCAGGCAAGCTGTTCATTGAATGTTTGCCCCTCGGTTCCGCCAGTGCTTAGGAGAACAGTGCGTTCGTCAGGCAAAGCCAGGCAAGCGCGCTCGAGGCTGGCCTGGTAAGCGCCCGCGCAGATATGCGAAGTACGACCTTCCCGATTCTTCTGGAGGGCGAGAGTGTCCCCCATAGGGATCAGGCGGGGAGTGCGGAGCAGATCGAGTAGCCAGAGGCGGGCAAGAGCTCACCGCCCCCCTCTCCCTCCTCGAGTGAGGTGTGTTGTCCCTTCCCCCCCCTCGCTCGCACGAGAGAACCCGACCAGTGCCCCTTGCGGCAGCTGTTCGCCAAAGGGGCCAGCAGCAGCCGCCTCCTCGAGATAAGGGACGGATATGCAAAGTACGACCTTCCCGATTCCCTTGGAGGGCCAGTGCGCCCCCCTTCGGGATCAGGCAGGGAGTGCGGCGCAGATCGGTCTACCAGAGGCGGGCAGGAGCCCCGCCGCCGTCTTGCCACCTCCCCCCGAGGTACTCGGGCGGAGGTCGCATGGGCAGGCCACACTGGAGCAGAGGCCTCCCGCTCCATATCACACGCTGATGGCTATGCAAAGTATAGCCCGAGCGCGTTGGCGCTCGAGCTAGAGCATGAAGGAAGCCGTCCGAAGCGCCTTACCTTACCTTACCTTACCTCCTCCTCCTCCTCCTCCTCCTCCTCCTCCTCCTCCTCCTCCTCCTCCTCCTCCTCCCCTCCTCCCTCCTGGGCAGGCCGCTCCCTGGAGCGACTTTGGGAGGCACGCGGGAGGCTCGGATCTCCGACCGCGCCCCCGAGCCTTTGATAGCAGGTGGGCGGGGAGCCCCGGGAGCGCCCGAGAGCATTCGGACATTCCGCGGGGTCGAATGCTTCGTGGCCTTTTTGCAGGGCACGTGCAGCATTCGCGCGGACCGGCTCCACAGTCATTCGCGACGCGCTGGCGGATGTGCCCCGTAGTCAGTTTGAACAGCAGTTTTTCTGCCAGGTGCCCTTTTTCACGCCTGTCTTCGCAGCCAAGCTGCCTTCCTGAGCCACGCGACGTGCAAGGAACGGGGCCCCTTCTAGGCTCGAGTAGCGGCTGCGTGCACGAGGGTCGTCAGAGGAGCAGCCATGAAGGATCTGAGGAACAGCGAGCCCCTTCCGAGCACAGTGGGGGCGCTCACCAAAAAAACCACATGTGTGTCGCCAGGATGCGCGTTGATTTTCTCCGCCTCGCGCGCTGCGCGGTCGTTTCCCGCGGCCGTTCAAGAAACTGCGGCGTTCAGCTTGATCTGGGTTGCCCCTGGCTGCACCGTTCGCGCTGGTTTTCAGGGTCGAGTCTTTTTGCGGGGGGGCCGTTTCCGGCCGCGCCCCCGCGCTGCGTGCCAGGTGGCGTGCCCGTGGTGTCTTGCATTTCCAGCCAAAAGTCGGTTTGCCGCCTCTCTTTGTCCATGGCGTGTGAAGGGGTGCGCCCGCTGCCCCTCCCCCCCCTCTTTCGGAGGGCACCAACTATACACCAACACCGATCCTGGCCCAGGATCACCCTGGGCCCAGGATCGGTGTATATGCCTTCTTGCGCAAGGCAGGAGGGCGTATACACCGATCCTGGGCCCAGGGTGATCCTGGGCCAGGATCGGCGTTGGTGTATAGTTGGTGCCTTCCTACTCTTGGCCCACAAGGCTTGAGCCGCCAGAGCGGTTTCGGGGGCCTCTCGGGGCCCTTGGGGGGTATCTCGTCCGGGCGGAACGGGCAGGGGGGGAGAGTGACAAGGGCGTGCGCTGCATGCTGTTGGCTCCGTGTCCGCCACCGGGCGCTCCTCGATAAGTTGGCGCCACTGGTGCTGAGAAGCGCGAGGACACTCAGGCACGCCAGCTGACTCGCATGGACTCCCCCCCCTTCCGTCGGACCCGGCTCGTCTTGGAGTCTTTGGGGCCATCCTGGGCGATTCTGCCGGCATCCTGGTGCCGTTCAGGGCCATCTTGGGCACGCCCGCGCCGTGAGTCACCACAAACGCAAAACAGTGAAACCATTACGGCCCCGCTATTCCCACGGTGGGCGTTTCGGGGCCCTCCTGGCCGATGCCAACACCGCATCTCGGGGCAATCTTCGGCCGTCCAGGCCCTTCACCGGGGCCTGTCGTGGCCTTCTTCGAGGCCAGCCAGGGCTGAACCTAAACGGTGTTTTTCGTTTTCGTGTTGTTTTCGTTTTCCCTCGCGTTTTCGTTTTCCCTTTCGCGTTTGTCTCGAATCCGCCTTTACCGCAGAACGAAGTCGAAACGAACACGACCCACGAAATCCCCCAAAATTCCGTTGAGGTTCAGCCGCTTCCTCCCCGCTTCCTCTTAGGCTCCTCCGCTTCCTCCCAGCACCTTCCGCAGTCTCCTCCGCGGTTTTGTCTGCCTTTTTCCTGATCTATCGAGTCGTCGGACGTCTTCTCCGTTCTTTCCTCTCCTCTTCTATAAAACCTCCTCCCGTCGCCGTGGTTAGGCCTTATGCACCAAGCGGCTTCACCTTGTTACCTTCTCCCCACGCGCCCACATTTTCCGTACGCGACCCCGCTTCTCCGTTTTCTCCCTCAGTTTTTGGAGCGGCCAGTTTTTGCAGGTTCAGATTGGGCCACGGGACGCCGGTCGACCGTTCCCGCATGTCGTTGCATGCGTTGACCATGATGGGGATGATCATTGCCACCATCGTCATGATTTGAGGATTCGACCCCCTTCAGCGCCTTCTTTGAATTGCCGAATCGACCTGCGAGGAGGCACAGGTGTGTAGACCGGGTGGATGCCTGCCCTGTTTTCATGACAGTTGTGGTATGTCTTACGGGACCGCTTGCTAACCAGCCAGGTCCTGCTCCCCGGCCCCGCGGTGAATTTAAGACTCAAACTGCAATTCCTGGAGCGTCGATTTTGCCATGGGCCGTGGGTCATGCTACACCCTTGGCTTTAATCCAGCCTCGTTCAGAGCCCAATCCAGTTTAATCCAGCTCCGCACTAACTTCATCGATCCTGTGTTTAATCCAGCGCGGAAGCGACTTGGTATGTTTTGCTATACTATATCACGCCCACGAAGGGCTTCTCGGAGTGGCCACCTCACCGAGACCGCGGGCCAGAATTGCACATCAGCATCGACGGCCTCGCGGTCTAGACTCCTCGGCGCGGCCCCACGGACCGTTGCGGTATTGCGCGCGCGACCCGCGCGGGGAGCGCATCCGTGGGATCGCGTATCCATCGGGCCGCGAGGGCAGGGATAGGAGATAGATCCGATGAGATCGGTGAGATCCGCTTTCAAACAGTCCCCAGACCCCTTTTCCATGCGTGCCAGTTTTGCATCCCGGATTGGTCCCCGATGGCTATCAGGACCCGGGAGCGGCGCCCCTCCAGGCCGAAGCCGACGTGAGCCCTCGAGCGTCGACGCCGTTGGGGATACAGGACGAGTACGACAACAGCCCATGTCCCCAATCACGTAGGACTCGGTATTACAGGATTGAGGATCAAGAAGCCCCGGATGGGATATTACACAGGATTGAGGATAACACATCTGATCGAGGGTGGAGGATTAAACGAGACACAAGGATGGAGGATAACGCGAGATACAAGGATGGAGGGTGGAGGATTAAACGAGATACAAGGATGGAGGGTGGAGGATTGAACGAGATACAAGGATGGAGGATAAAACAGCCCCTTGTCCTACCAACGCGATGAAGGCGTGGCCTCTCTGAGGTCCCCGTCTTCACGGCAGGGATCGTACATCTGGGCAGGCTGGTTCGATGCATCTGCAGAGGAGACCCACTAACTATCCCCAATGTTTCGGCTCCCCCCAACTCAGGTCCGCTCCCAAAGGGTGTAGGGGGCCTTTTCTGCCTAAGCCTCGACTCCTTCGATCCGCGACGCAGAGTGTGCCGCAGATCTACGGAGCATTCTGCGTTTTTCCCTGCGGTGGGCAGAAATATGTTCAAGGTAATTAAATGTTCCCCTACTCGATTTATCGAGTAGGGGATAATTATCGAGTAGGGGATAATTATCGAGTAGGGGATAAATTCTGCAGTCGATCCCCTACTCGATTGATCCTCGACGCCCCCTGGACGGCAGGGCCCCGGCCCCCGTCCGGCCGAGGAGCAGCGTGCTTCTGCGCCCCGCCCAGGCGCCGCGCGACCAGGGCGCGCTCCCGCGCTGCGCCCAGGCGGCGGCCTGCGCGCTGGTCTCGCTGCCGCCGGTGCTGCTGAGCGGCACTCGGGGGCAACGATCGAGGGCTCGTGGAGGGTCGGAGGAGGAACAGGTACCCATACCGTTGCCCAGGCCTCGCTGTTCGGCCTCCTGGGAGGCCCTCGTCGCCACCGCGGGATTCGCTTCGAAATCCTGGTCAGAACGCACCCCAGGAGAGGTCCTGGGAGTAGCGGGATATCGGTGCCTTGTCTGGTTTCCCCAATGATCGGGGGTTCGCAGAGGGGGGTTCTCCTGAGGTGGGGTCAGGGAACATACCCAGCTGGATACTCCCATTTTTCTCTTTGACGGGCCGTTTGAAGCGATTTAAATCCAGCTCCACCGCTGCCCTTACCCTTCACGCCCCCCCGGAATGACAGTCGGCTGCGCGTCAGAGTGACCCCTCGCCGGAGTGTCCTTTGGGTGTGGGCCCACAGGGGGTCCCGCCAGCACCGGCTGGCGCGCTTGGGTTGCGTCGGTTCGGCCTCCCCCGCGGCCTCCTGAGGCCACGCACCAAAGGCCACTCTTGCCTAGGGCATAGGGTCACCCCTGCGTGCAGCCGAGACGTGGGGAGGGGGATGGGCTCGGGTTGGGGGGGAGCATCGAGCCCACTCGCCCGCTCATCGCCGACAGGGCACCTCGCCCAGGAGCCTGCGATCCATCGAGGGCCTATCGCCGATGTACCGCGATGCGTTCACGCTTCAGGCTCGACGCTTTCCTCCTGAGCCGGTGGTCCACCATCGCTCCCCATCAGGCCTGGGCATCTGGCTGACGACGAAGCTCCTGGCCGACTACTCGAAGTCCGCTCCCCAAACATTGGGGCTCCGGTGTTTCTCTGTTTCTGGGCTCGGGGGACAGCTTCCATGGCCCCCCCGGGCCATCAGAACCGATCAGGACCATCCAAGGATTCTGGGCCTCCTTGGGGGCCTTCGTTGCCACGGCTGGATTCGGCTGATAATCCTTGGTGGGAACATCCCGCGGGAGAGGCCTTCCTGGGCATCTGGGTGACGCCCAAGCTCCTGGCTCACTTGCCTCGGTCCGTTCCCAGACCTCCAGCATCCTCGGGGAGAATACATCCTGGGTGCTCTATCACTTTCGGCCCCTGGGGGCCGTGTGTCTCTGGGGCTATTCGACAAAGCGACCGGGCATTTCAAGTGGTCTTTGGGAGGCGGTCGAGAGGCCCCCAGACTTGGGTTTGACGACGAAGCCAGTGGCCGTCTTCCCCAGGGTGGATGGGAAGCTTCCGATACCTGTTACTTGCGGATGGCTCCGGCTCCACCGTCAGGCATTTCCATTGATACTTAAAAGTGGCCGCCTGTGGCGCGGGGAGGCGCTGGAAAATTCGTCTGCACGCAGCCGCTTCGCTCCCCCCCCCTTCCACGCCCGCCCTTGTTGGCCCCCGCGCCCCCCTCCCCCTCCCGACGAGGTGAAACGCAGAGGACGGACATGCTTGAAGCTTTCGTTCCCCGGGGGCCCTGTTCGGGCGTTGGGGCGGTCAAGTCCATCTCTAGGCCTCCCAGATGGGACCGGAGTAGATGGGGTCGAAGAATCGCGCCGCATCGCCGATGCATCGGCGATGCGACTCGATGCGGAGCCCGACTGTCTCCGCGCTGGCGTCTCCCATGCATCGCCGACATCGCTGGTGCATCGCCGATGTATCGCCGATGCATCGGCGATACATCGGCGATGCATTGGCGATGCGGCGCGATCCTTCGACCCCATCTACTCGGACCCCATCTAGGAGGCCTCTACCATCGGGGGTGAACAACCCGTTCCCGGAAAGGGTCGAGAGGTTCCCACACATATCCACCGACCCGGTCCGTCCGCCTCGGGCCTCCGAACCTCTCCGGGCCCCGTCCCAGGGGGCCGTTCCTGCGCCCTGGGACATGGTGTCGGCTCCTGGGGATCTCGACGCCTCTTCCCGGGGCCGGCCTGGTCGGCCATGCCGCTTTCGTTGGACGGCGCCGCTTTCGTTGCACGGCCCCGGGGCCGGGAAGAAAGGCCCCCAGACACACCGAAGACGTCCACAGGCCAGCCGTCACAACGTCCACGGATCTGACGTGCAAGACGACGGGCCGAGACTGCCCCAGGACGGCACAGGAGCCCGAGATCCTTGTTGATTGTCCAGGGGCCTGAGATCGGCTGCCAGAGTCGGAAGACGACGGAACAGCCTGATTCTATGTGTCGGCGGCGAAATGCGAAATGCGAGCCCTGCCCTCGCCGATCAACGATCCAGGTAACTCGATGTGCGGCGGGGGTAAGGCTCGGAATTTGTCGAACGCGTGGCGAAGTATCCCCGCCCCCCTTCGATTCAGAAGAATCGATGGTCGGTGGGAGTAGGGGTCGGATGTTGAAAATCGGAGACCTAGAGGTCGACACCAGTACCAACATCGGCGGTGTGCCTCCACCGAGAGAAGATGATCCCGATCTTTGCGATGGTGGTACGGTCGGGGCGCTGAAGAAGGAACCTTTTTCGTTGGGGAGGGGCTCGGTGTTCCTTGATTGTTCTACAGTTTGCCTTGGGTTGTCCTTAGGTTTTCGATACGAAATCGAAGTTCAACTTATGGAAAATAGGGGCCTCGTTCCTTATTTAGGGTTCCTTAGGTCAACGCCCCGACTGTAATATTCGGGCTTACTAGGTTGCCGAAAGACTACTACCAGCACCAACATCTATGATCATCTTCCCCTCGTGGAGGCATCCCCTCGTGCTGGTGTTGGTGCTAAGTTCCAAGCCTCCAAGAGGAGCCAGAAGACACGCGTGGCATCGGAGGCTCTGGGGTCCCTTCCTGGGCGGGGCGACGAGGCGCGACCTTCGGAGCGGGCGGGTGGACTCTAAGAAGCACGCCTTGTACACCTCCTGTGAGGCCTGCTTAGAAGTAAGTCGGGCGTGCCCCTCTGGAGGAAAAGTATGCAAGAATAGTGGAAACATGATATGGTGACGATGTGCCGTTTGTTTCATTATTTGTCTGTGTTTGAACATATGTGGACTACCCTGCACTATCTTCCAAAATCTGCCTGTAGGAGCCGGACCTAAGCTTAGAAGCTCCCCAGCCCATTGGCATCGCTCGGACGTGTGCAGTTTGTCATGGCGGGGACCATCGAGGAGCATCCTGGATCATCATGCGAACAAGAAAGCACACGAAGTCGAACCATGCACGAGGAACGGACACCCAGCGAAGCTTCAAACAGACACGCTTGACACAGCAGCGGGCAAACCGACACGCTTGACACAGCAGCGGGCGAACCGACACCCAGCGAAGCTTCAAACAGACACGCTTGACACAGCAGCGGGCAAACCGACATGCTTGGCACAGCAGCGGGCGAACCGACCTCCCTTGAGGACTTCTCAGAAGCCCCCCCGGCCCGCGCACGAATCCCCCGGTGCCTCAGAATGCGGGCCACCCTCGCAGCTACCCCCATGGCGTGCCGCCGGTTGGCTCTGAGCGAAGGTGGGGCCCCTCCCTCCCTCTCAACTCAGGAGAGGAAAAAACACACAGACACAATGAATCGTCGATCCCCAAGAACATATCGGAAAATATGGGAAGTGGGGGGGAAGACAAAAACCCAGAAAATATTGGAAAATATAGGGATGTTTTTTATTTGTGTGTATTTATTTGTGTGTCCCAGGGCCCCTTCATCAACGTTGGCCCCCCGTTCCAGGCCGCGAGACCATGTCGGATCGACCTGGAACTTGGCACGCTAAGCGAGGCATGAAGTAAGGCTCCCATTGGACGGGGCTACGACGAAGACCAATCCGTCCCAGAGCGTTCCGGAACGCTCTCAGAGGATTCTGTAATCGGGGGTGGACAGAACCCCCAACAGTGACACGTCGATTGGTGAATTGTCCGTTTCCGGTTCTCGAGAGGGCGCCGTGGCCGTCATTTTCCAGGCTCGCGCCCGCCAGGTTGGGGCCTCAGGTCGTTTTCACGAAACCACGTTTTACTAAAGGGTGGTCTGTCCATCCCCGATGTAACGCTCCGAGGAGGCCGCGGCGCCCGAGACATCCTCCAGAGCCGCCAGATCTCAGAGAGTTCTGTCCGATTGATCCTCGCCCCGGTCTGTCTCCGTCCTTGCTTCGCCTCAGGTCAGTCCGGCAGGAAGCAGGGCTCGAGAGAGCTCCAGTCGCAGTGCCTCTTTGCGCCCGTGGCCTCTGCTGACGTTGGACATTCTCGGGGGTGGACAGAACCCCCAACAGTGACACGTCGATTAGTGCATTGTCCGTTTCCAGTTCTCGAGAGGGCGCCGTGGCCGTTATGTTCCAGGCTCGCGCCCGCCAGGTTTGGGCCTCAGGTCGTCTTCACGAAACCACGTTTTACTAAAGGGGGGTCTGTCCATCCCCGATGTAACGCTCCGAGGAGGCCGCGGCGCCCGAGACATCCTCCAGAGCCGCCAGATCTCAGAGATTTCTGTCCGATTGATCCTCGCCCCGATCTGGCTCCGCCCTTGCGTCGCCTCGGATCAGTCCGGCAGGAAGCAGGGCTCGAGAGCTCCGGTCGTCGCAGTGTCTCTTCGCGCCCGTGGCCTCTGTGGACGTTGGACATCCGTAGGTCGCCGCTCGGCGACGTCCTCTCGCTGTGGCGAGTCCCCGAGTGGGAGGAGGTGCTGGTCGTCGCCGCCGTCGCGGCGCTGTGGGTCGCGCTCCTCCTGTTCAGTTCGGCGCTCTCCGCATGCATCAGGACTGGGCGGGCTTGTGAGTTCTTCGCTGTTCTCCGAGACGAGCGAGGGGGGGAAATGAGAAGGAGAAGGCCCTCTCAGAAGGCGGCGGGACTTCTGAAGGCCTCCGGCCTTCTGAGAAGTTTTTTCTGTCCTCGGGGAAGGCTTGGAAAATTTCTCAGAAGTCCCGGGAACTTCCGAGCCTTCTGAGAAGGCCTTCTCCTTCTCATTTCCCCCCTGGGCGCGCCGCCTATATTCGAGTAGGAGGCCCCAAGCTTTACTTGTTCGTCGGGTCTTACGAGAATCGATGGAACGTTTCCGTAGGTCTACGAAAGTTCGATTTTTTTTGTTTCAGAGATTCGACGAACAGTTCACTTTTGGTGTCGATCTCCTACTCGAGGACTGGGGCGGCTTGAATTCTTTGCCACGGAGGGGCCTGAGGGAAACGGGTTCTGGACATTTCTCGTGGTGTTCGGGCTCCCGGGGCCCTCCCCATCCCCGAGAGCGTGAAGAGGTCAGTGTGGGGGGGGGGCGTCCAGGAGGGAGGCGAGCACTAAGGGGGGGGGATGAAATCATGTCGGGGGCCCCAGACCTCACGGCGCCTCTTCTTACTTCAATGCGTCCCCTGGCCCCCCTTGGAATGCGCACATGCCTTGGGCTATGATTTGCGCACCTCCCTCTTGGAGACCCCCTCATTGACACCCCCCTCGTGGACGCCTCTTGGACACCCCCCTCTTGGACGTCCCCCAATCAGTCGGGATGAACAAGTGGTCCTGGGGGATAGCCCGGGGGTCCAGGACCCGCTTCCTCAGGCAGCCCGCTGTGGCGCCGTTGTGGACATCTGTCGGCTGCTTCTGTTGGGAGCTGCCAGTCCGTGCCCCAACCCGAGCGCTCTCCGAGCCGCCGCCGCGGGAGACCCGAGAAGCGCGCGCCACTTGCACGCCGGCCGCGCCCCTGACTGGCAGTGGCGCTCCAGGCGGAGCGTCCGCCGCACTCCTGGCTGGAGGTGGTATGGTGCCCTCGCCCAAGCGTCAGCCAGTTTTCAGGAGGGAAAGAAACACACAGACACAATTAATCGTCGATCCCCAAGAAAATATGGGAAAATATGGGAATTGGGCGGGAAGACAAAAGCTAAAAAAAAGGAAAATATGGGGAATCATTTTATTTGTGTGTATTTATTTGTGTGTCTCAGGGCCCCTTCAAGTTTGATGACTCGGAATCTGGGACTCTCTTTTTCCCAACCCTCCTCTGGTTGGGTGCTCGTTTTGAATCGAGCAGTGTGGTCGCCCCGTCCTCCTCCTCCTCCGCCCTCCTCCCCTCCTCCTCTCCTGTCTCCTGTGTTCCCCTCTCCTCTTCCCTCGTGCCTTGGGGGCTGCGATCTGCGCAACTGTCGCCACTTTCGTGGGCTCCTGGGAGGCCCAGCGGAGGTGGGTCCCAGGCGGATCCCCTCGAGACCTCGCGGTGCCTTGAGGGCTGCGATCTGCGCAATTGTCGCCGCTTTCGTGGGCTCCTGGGAGGCCCAGCGGAGGTGAGTCCCACGCGGATCATTTCGAGACCTCGCGGTGCCCTGGGGGCTGCGATCTGCGCAATTGTCGCCTTTTTCGTGGGCTCTTGGGAGGCCCAGCAGAGGTGGGTCCCACGCGGATCACCTCGAGACCTCGCGGTGCCTTGGGGGCTGCGATCTGCGCAATTGTCGCCACTTTCTTGGGCTCCTGGGAGGCCCAGCGGAGGTGGGTCCCAGGCGGATCCCCTCGAGACCTCGCGGTGCCTTGAGGGCTGCGATCTGCGCAATTGTCGCCGCTTTCGTGGGCTCCTGGGAGGCCCAGCGGAGGTGGGTCCCACGCGGATCCCCTCGAGACCTCGCCGTGCCCTGGGGGTTGCGATCTGCGCAATTATCGCCACTTTCGTGGGCTCCTGGGAGGCCCAGCGGAGGTGAGTCCCACGCAGATCACCTCGGGACCTCGCCGCCCCCTGGGGGGCTTACGATCTGCGCAATTGTCGCCACTTTCGTGGACTCATGGGTGGCCCAGCGGAGGTATGTCCCACGCGGATCACCTCGAGACCTCGCCGCCCCCTTAGGGGCTTGCGATCTGCGCAATTGTCGCCACTTTCGTGGGCTCCTGGGAGGCCCAGCGGAGGTATGTCCCACGCGGATCACCTCGAGACCTCGCCGTGCCCTGGGGGCTGCGATCTGCGCAATTGTCGCCATTTTTTTCGTGGGCTCCTGGGAGGCCCAGCGGAGGTGGGTCCCACGCGGATCACCTCGAGACCTCGCGGTGCCCTGGGGGCTGCGATCTGCGCAATTGTCGCCAGCTCCTGGGAGGCCCAGCGGAGGTGGTCCCACGCGGATCCCCTCGAGACCTCGCCGTGCCCTGGGGGTTGCGATCTGCGCAATTGTCGCCGTTTTCGTGGGCTCCTGGGAGGCCCAGCGGAGGTGAGTCCCACGCGGATCATTTCGAGACCTCGCGGTGCCCTGGGGGCTGCGATCTGCGCAATTGTCGCCGTTTTCGTGGGCTCCTAGGAGGCCCAGCGGAGGTGGGTCCCAGCCGGATCACCTCGAGACCTCGCGGTGCCCTGGGGGCTGCGATCTGCGCAATTGTCGCAATTTTCGTGGGCTCTTGGGAGGCCCAGCGGAGGTGGGTCCCACGCGGATTACCTCGAGACCTCGCCGTGCCCTGGGGGCTGCGATCTGCGCAATTGTCGCCACTTTCGTGGGTTCTTGGGAGGCCCAGCGGAGATGGGTCCCACGAGGATCACCTCGAGACCTCGCCGTGCCTTGGGGGCTGCGATCTGCGCAATTGTCGCCACTTTCGTGGGTTCCTGGGGAGGCCCAGCGGAGGTGGGTCCCACGAGGATCACCTCGAGACCTCGCGGTGCCCTGGGAGCTGCGATCTGCGCAATTGTCGCCATTTTCGTGGGCTCCTGGGAGGCCCAGCGGAGGTGGGTCCCAGGCGGATCCCCTCGAGACCTCGCGGTGCTTTGAGGGCTGCGATCTGCGCAATTGTCGCCGCTTTCGTGGGCTCCTGGGAGGCCCAGCGGAGGTGAGTCCCACGCGGATCATTTCGAGACCTCGCGGTGCCCTGGGGGGCTGCGATCTGCGCAATTGTCGCCACTTTCTTGGGCTCCTGGGAGGCCCAGCGGAGGTGGGTCCCACGCGGATCCCCTCGAGACCTCGCGGTGCCTTGAGGGCTGCGATCTGCGCAATTGTCGCCGCTTTCGTGGGCTCCTGGGAGGCCCAGCGGAGGTGGGTCCCACGCGGATCCCCTCGAGACCTCGGTGCCCTGGAAACCGTTTCTTGCTTGCTTGGGGCATGACGGGCGTCATGGCCCCCGCTCCCCCCCCCTCCCCCTACGACGTAACGCTCCCCCCCCCCAGTGCGCTCCGGGCACTGCCGCCGTGCGCATTGGGATCCGCGTAGGTGTCCGCGTAGGATTCCGCATAGGTGTCTGGTCCGCAGGCGTCGTCGTCGTCGTCGTCGTCGTCGTCGTCGTCGTCGTCGTCGTCGTCGTCGTCCGTCGTCGTCGTCGCTCGTGGCTCGTCGCTCGTCGCTCATCGTCGTCGTGCGCGCGGACGCGGCTGGTGGAGCCTGTTTTTAAGTCGGGGCCGATGCCGGCAATCATTTGGGGGGGCGTTTCGCGCCGGCGGCGTCTGGGAATGTTTAGGAATGACGGAGGACGGGGAGCATGAACATGCAGGTGGCGATATGCACAACAACGCCTGTGTACATCACAGTGCCCGCGTGCACCACGGCGTTTGTGTACACCACGCCGCCGATGTACACCACAGCAGCCGCGTGCAACACAGCGTCAGTTTGTGCCACCGTGCGTGCGGGCACAGCAGCTCCTGTGTACACCACAGCGTCTCCGTACACCACATCAGCCGTGCGTAATACAGCACCAGTGTACACCACAATGCCTGCGTGCATTGCAGTGCCTGTGTACGCCACGGCGCGTGCGTGCACCACATCAGCCGTGTGCAACACAGCACCACTGTTGTGTATAGAATTTCAGAAAGAATCCTTGTGACAAAATGGAGCGCGTACAATGAAAAACACATCCTCATGGACAAAGGAGCGTCGCTGGAATCTACGAGTCCCCCCGAGTCCGCCCGCATCACCCTAACTCCCATTTGCGTCCAGGAGGCTCCAGCTAAACTGGCCGTCCGAGAACCAAGTGGACCGATTCAATCGACCATTCTGCGGTGCACGCTGAGATGCGCACGTGCGTTTTAACGCCACGCCGCACGACAGGGGGTCAGAAGGAGGAAAAGGAGGAGGAGGAGGAGGAGGAGGAGGAGGAGGAGGAGGAGGAGGAGGAGGGAGGAGGTAAAAACGTCGCATTCGATTCTGAGAATTTTCCTGGCGTGGCTTTTAGTTGTTCGCAGCAGATCCTGACGTACATGCTCCTTCTACCTGCCCTCTGCACGCAGGCACTGGTGTACACCAGCGCTGCGTTGCACGCGGATGCTGTGATGTAAACAGGCGCTGTGGCGTGCACAGGAACTGCGGTGCACGCAAGCACTGTGGTGTACACAGGCGTTGTGTTGCACATGGCTGCTGTGGTGTATGTACACCGGCGCTGTAGTGCTCCCAAGTATTGTGGTATACACGGGCGGTGCGTTGTACACGGCTGTTGCGGTGTACGCAGGCGTTGTGGTGCACACGCGCGGTGTGGTGCACGCGAGCGTTGTGGTGCACACAGGCGCAATGGGCAGATCGCCACTTACATGCTGCTCGCGTCGTCGTCGTCGCTCGTCGCTCGTCGCGTCGTGCGCGCGGGCGCGGCTGTGGTGCTGGTGCCGGAGCCACACGGCGGGGGGGGGCGTCACGTCATACCCCCCTTGCCCTTCCCCCCCCCCCATGACGCCCGTCATCGCCGAACATGAAGAAACGCGCTCCTGGGGGGCTTGCGATCTGCGCAATTGTCGCCACTGTCGTGGGCTCCTGGGAGGCCCAGCGGAGGTGAGTCCAACACGGATCATTTCGGGACCTCGCCGCCCCCTGGGGGGCTTGCGATCTGCGCAATTGTCGCCACTTTCGTTGGCTCCTGGGAGGCCCAGCGGAGGTGGGTCCCACGCGGATCACCTCGCGACCTCGCCGCCCCCTGGGGGGCTTGCGATCTGCGCAATTGTCGTTGTTTTCGTGGGCTCCTGGGAGGCCCAGCGGAGGTGGGTCCCACGCGAATCACCTCGGGACCTCGCCGCCCCTGGGGGGCTTGCGATCTGCGAAACCGTTGCCGCTTTCGTGGGCTCCTGGGAGGCCCAGCGGAGGTGGGTCCCACGCGGATCACTTCGGGACTTCGCCGCCCCCTGGGGGGCTTGCAATCTGCGCAATTGTCACCGCTTTCGTGGGCTCCTGGGAGGCCCAGCGGAGGTACGTCCCACGTGGATCATTCGGAGGTACGTCATACGCGTTTCTTTCAACGCCCCTGTGTTTCCATTTGGTATAGTTGCCGTTCCTCTTCTTGCTGCGCTCTTCTGGAATCACTGTTGGGTGCTCTTCTTGCGCACTGCGGGTCCTTCAGAATGCCAGTCAGCATTGAGTGGTCCTGAGTAGAATCGCCACGTGTATAGAAAGGGCTGGGTACGTCACGGGGTAATTTCACGCCGACCGCATTTTTGACTGGCAATTGTTCCCTTGTTTCGCGTTGGTCACGTTCCTGACTGGGTCGCTCTCGCATCAGCCATCACTGGGGGGGGTGTTCCAGCCTCTGAGTTCCCGCACTCAGTGCTCCCAGCCCTGAAGATGCCTTTCTTGTGAAGGCCTCGGAAGACCTTGCGGCTGGTGCCGCCGACCCTGCAGGGGGAGCCCGAGGCGTGTGGAAGGCACGGCATCGAAGGGAAAAAGACACCCCAGGAATACCCCCCCTCTGGCGGGGAAGGGATCGGAGGGAAGGGGCTTCCCTTCGACTCGACTGCGACGTTGCGCGATTTCTCTTTGGCTTGGACGTTTGACGAGGAGGGCCCACGGACAGGAACAGGGGAGAGCGGTGACGGCGACGAGGACGACTCAAAAGGAAAGCCTCTCGCACATGCCGGCAGCGTCGGCGGAGTTGGTGTTAGGCACATCTTCAGTCCAGAATGGCTCTCGGGCCTCAGGCCTGGCCTCAGGCCTCGGTGACGGCCACGTTGCCAGCGCTAAGCGTTGGACGGTGCCACCGCCTACACTCAACCCGCTTAATCAGGAATCACGATCAGGATTGGAAGGCCATATCGACATTTTGCAAGCGGGGCGCGGCCAGCGAAAGCGGCCAGGGATGGGCCGAAGGGGAAGGTCGCAAGGGTAACCTTGGAACGTCGCTCATCCTGACTATGCGGGTTCACTGTAAGTTCTGGCCGCGCTCCCAGTTTTCAAGTACTGCTCTCGCCTCGGTGTCAGCCATCGTCCCAGCTCCGCATTGCGTTTTCGCCTCAACGCCGACCATTATCCCAGCGTGGAAACCCGGACACCATCGGTTGGAGGACGAAAACGTACCCATACCGCTACCCTTCACCCGTTTCCCCCTTTTGGGGGGCTCCTGGGAGACCCTCGTCGCCCCTGCTGGATGCGTATCGCAATCCTGGTCAGAACGCACCCCGGGAGAGAATCCGGGGAGTAGCGGTAGCGGCACCTCTTGGTCTCCCCAGCAGGTTCGTGTGATGGGGGGGGGTCTGATGCAGGGCTCCGCCTGCGGCAGGATCCTCAGCGATTCGGGCAGCGTCACATTCATCGGCATCCTGGGCGCCGGGTACCTTGCATTCGAGGCCATGATGGTGGCCATGATGCTGGGACAGGGCGCGCGCCATCTGCCTCGCATGATGATGCTTGTCTCGTCGGTGTCTACCGCGATGCTGTCGTTTGGTGGGATTTGCTACATCATCTACGCCACGGCTGCCTTCATGCAGGAGCCCCCTTTTGAGAGGTCCGCAGTTGGCCACGCCTTCCTGTGGGGCTGAGCCCCCTGCGGTCCTCCCGCCTCCCAGCCCTGGAGCGGGGGCCCGCTTTTCCCCCGAGGAGTCCCGGAGCCTGCCTCGCGCCTCGACAGCTTGGGCGCAGTTTCATACGCGTTTGCGTCGCACACAGCCTCAGGCATCAGAGGAGCCGACGGCTGCTATGGCTCGCGGCGCGACACGTAGCCAGGAGAAAAAGCAGTTGGAACACGACGCGGGAGGCGGACGAGGATAGATACGATGACAAAAGAAATGTACAGGCCTTGGGTGGCGCAGGGTGGGTGACAAGGTGGAGGCTCAGGAAAAGTGAAGCAACGTGAGGAGCAGCAGGATGAGGCGGAGCACGAGGAGCAGGAGGAGGAGGAGGAGAAGGAGGACGAGGAGGAAAAGGAGGAGGATGAAAAGGAGGGAGGCCCCGGCCGCAGCCGCGGTGCCGCTTGCGGCTGCAGCTGGGCGGCCGGGGGCCTCCAGAGCCAGCGGCCGCCTGCCGGACGGCGCTGGCCGAACGGCCCCCCGACGAGGAGGGAGGACGCCAGCTTTTCCCGCCCTGGGGACGGCCAGCGCAGGAACCTCGCCAGGAGCCCCCACGCGCAGGCGCGCACAGGCCGGACAAAATTAGCCACCACGCCTTGCTGGGCACCTTCGGAGCCGAGTGACGACCGCTACTGCGCCCGTGCGGGGAGCCACACGCGACTCACTGGCAAGTGGCCAACGGCGAGCCGCGCCAGAGTGTGGAGGACGTTGCTCACTGCGGCACCGCGTGGGCGCGTCTGGGGCAGCCGGGCGCCGCGTTGGCCAGCAGCCGCTCCTGCGGCCACTCCAAGACCAGCCCGACGGCAGGCGCTCTGCTGCAATATGCCCTACGGCAGCGGCCTCAAGGCGCGGATCTGAGATGACGGGGGGGGCGCACCACCAATAATGCAGTTTCCGCGTGGCCCAGCAGGTCTCTGTCCCGGTTGAGACAGGTGGCGTTGGCGTTGGCGCGGCCTGCGCCCCCGCGTTGCCGCTTAGGCCATGCGCCACTGGTCAGGCGGCGCTCAAGGCGGGACGCGGGAGCGCATCGATGTGGCGTACCCCAGGCTGCACACGGACGTCGCAGTCTGCGACAGCGTCCCCGGGGGCGCGCGCGCGCCCTGGCGGCAGCCGTGGCCGACGGCACAGCAATGCCGCCGCCGAGGCAGACGCGCAGCGCTGCAGCACCTGCGTTGGGTCCACGACTGGACCCCGGGCAGGGCGTTTGGGGCGGCCCGGCAGCGGGAGCAGCTGCGAGCGCGCTGGCGCACCGTCGGGGCCCAGCTCGGTGCGGCGCTGTGCTGTGCCTCCGCTCGGCAGTTTCGCGCCGCAGCGCGGCGACGGGGCCGACGAGGCCGAGGCCCGGCTGGCGGCGGGGCCGACCGGCGGACCGCTGCCTGGGGCGCGTTAGGCAGTGCCGCGGCGCGCTGAAACCGATCGCGGCCATCCTGCAGCTGGGCTCCAGCATTTTCTGGGGGTCGCCAGCTCTCCATGGGTGTCGTGGTGTGTCAACGCACTGTCTGACTTCATGGTTGCAGGGAGAATAGGAACGATGAAGGGCGCGACGGTGCCGGTGCCGTGGGGATCGGCGGCGACGGTGCCGGGGGGGGGGGAGCGGCGACGGTGCCGTGGGGATGAGGGATGGAGGGGGGAGTGCGGAGTTTGAAGGGGGGAGGAGGAGCAGGACCCGAGCCATGAACAGTAATTACGCTGCTTGCGTAGGCGCAGGATGATACGGATTTTTAGGATTGGGGACGTGGTGTAGGGTACGAGCGATGGGAGATTGATGCATTGGACCGTGAAGGATGGGGGAACTGGTGAACAGGATGGCGCATGACGAAGAGGACAGGAGAGATGGGGACGAGGGTGATGTGGTGATGGTGGTGGTGCTTTTGATGGGGTGATGGAGGGGCGGCGAGGAAGTGGGCGAGGGACAACGATGACGGACAACGGGCGGACCTGCATGTCTTCTTGCGGCGCCCGGGTGTGACAATTCTTCCATACTTGACAGCATTACCACCATCAGTTCGTCAATGGGTACCCCTTGATTGATGGCGGTCATGATGGTGATGATTGTGGTGGACATAGAGGACGATGGCATAACAGTCGACAGCGAGACAACAACTACATCATCGCCATCGTTTTTCCGTATCCGTTGTTTTAATCCCCCTGGTCATGCCTCCCTCCTTCCCTCCGCGGCCGCCATGCCCATTCCATTGGGGGCAGTGAAGTTGCATGCCGATCCAATTTCAAGCATGCCATTACATGCAGTGTAATGGCCTTGTCGAAGAACATGCTGGTGACTTTGTTGCGATGCTGCGAGTTGTTGCTGGAGCGCTGGATCCCAGGGTAGGCGACGCAGGAGGACGAACTCTAACACAGCCGGCCTCGCTGGTGCCGTCGGCGCGCGTCAGAGGCCTGGACGCGGGCGCGGACTCCTTCCTTCCACGCCCTCCCTCGGCGCTCCGCTCGGGCCTGCGCGCCGCACCGCGACGATCCAGCCTTCGCACCGAAGACCAGCAGAAAACCGCCGAAGTCCTCCTCCTCCTGCTCCTCCTCCTCCTCCTCCTCCTCCTCTTCCTCCTCCTCCTCCTCCTTCCCCTCCTCCTCCTCCTCCTCCTCCTCCTCCTCCTCCTCCTCCTCCTCCTCCTCCTCCTCCTCCTCCTCCTCCTCCTCCTCCCCAGGAACGATGGGCAACGAGGGCCCCGTGGTCGCACACGCAGCAGCAGGGCTCCCCGGGGAGGCGGGGGAGCACGAGCGAGCCCGCGCGCCCGGCCCCCCGCCCAGGTGGGCGTCGAGATCGGTGCGCTGCTCGAGGCGTGGTGCGGGAGGGGCGCTGGTCCTCAGCTCCTGCTCCCCTCCGCTCCCCCCTTGGCCACGCCCCCCTCCCTCGGCTCCGGCCACTGCTCCATCCTCCTCCCCAGACCTCCGACGTGAGATGAGGCCCGCGACCACGACGGCGACGGTGACGACGAGTGACGACGGCGACAGCGGCGAGGACGCCGAGGTACGACATCGACGATCACGATCACGACGACGAAGACGACAACGACGACGACACATTCTGGCGTAGGTACGTTCTCGCCACAATTTCGAGGGGAGCCTAGCCGTGAGCACGAGGGCCCCCACCACGGCCTGAAATTTTAAGATGACATGCTCGTTCGATGGTTCATGCGGATGCTGGACCCCCGGCGCACTCCGCAAGCATGGGAAGGGGTCCAGCGCCGACCCAAGGAGTCCGCGCAGACCTCCGAAGGTCCATTCTTCTGAACATCGCCCCGGTAAAGAACAGCCCGACGCAAGACGAGCGTCGAGCGACGACGACGCCATGCCACACCACGACCGGATCCCGAGACCCCAGTTTCCTGCGGCGTCTCGAGCTGGATCGGTGTGCGAACTCCCCGTGGGCCCGAGACCGGGCGAAGACGCCCGGTGTGAGAGAATTGGGGCTCCCAGGTCTCGGGGAAGGCCCGACGCCGTGCGAGAGACGACGACGACGACGACGACGACGCCGCCGCCCAGGGCTCCTGGGCGCCGGAGGCGCCGGAGGCGCCGGCGGCCGCGGAGGTGCAGGCCGCGAGGACGATGGCCGCGCGGCCGCCTCGGCCGCGGGCTCCTGGCCGACCGACGGGGGCCGCCGCGGAGCGACGGGGGGAGGGGGATCGGAAGGCGCGTGGCATCCTAAAAGGACGCGAAGATCGGGTCAACATCGGATCGGGATAACTCGAAATCTCTGAGAATCGGCGGGTTTGGAGGATGTATTGGGCGCCGCGGCCGCTCCAGAGCGTTCTGGAACGCTCTGAGAGCGCTCTGGAACGCTCTGGAGCGATTTATCCCGATCCTAGCCCTGTTTTACACCCCGCAATGGCGGATGCGGTGGTGAAGCAGTGGCGAAGCGTCCTGGTTGGCCTGTGTCGGGTATGACCGCAGAGGGTGTTTGATGATGCATTTCCCCCCTGAGCTCTCGGCTGGGAATAGAAGCTCGTCCCTCCTCCTCCTCCTCCTCCTCCTCCTTCCCCTCCCTCCTCCTTCCCCTCCGTCCTCCTCCTCCTCCTCCTCCCCCTCCTCCTCCTCCTCCTCGTCCTCCTCCTCCTGTGGGAGGAGGCGGAGGAGGAGGAGGAGGCCGCCCGGCGTTGAGCGATGGGATTTTTGAGCACTTCTCACAACCTCTCATGCATCCGCAGACGAGAATAATCAATTTCCAACTATTGTCGGGGTCCCAATCCGTCAATATGCCAGCGGACAAATCATTTATTTTCCCATTCTTGCCCGGGGGTTTATTAAAAACCCTTTGGGGTTAAGCATGACCCCAGGTAAGGGGACCGGGTTAGTGATAGGGCCCCAGAGCCCCTAAATTGACCAGGATCAATAAACCAGGTTTGCAGTAGCTGGTGTTTTTCGGATGACGGCAGTTCCGGTTAGTGGAACAGGGCCTGGGGGGCGCCCCCAGTACACATCATTAAACCATGTCTCATTAAACCCAGTTCTGCCAACGCCCGATTGTTGGCTCACCAGAACATGTTCTAAGAACCTTTTTGTGGTTTGCACGAAACGTTCTTTAGATTACTTCTGGCTGACCGGTCTTGTTTTAAACATGGGGTTTTATGTTCTACGAGCATTGTTTTTGTTGTAGGAACACTCCTTGGTTCTATAAAAAACTTCCGTGGTAGACCTGTAGGGATGCCAGGATGGTCGGTCCCCGCTCAAAGCGGGGACGCGCATGATGCCGGGATGGTCGGTCCCCGCTCAAAGTGGGGACGCGCATCAAGAATTGGATGCTTTTCGTGGGGGCACCCTAGGTTTCTTCACTTTGTGCGCTGCGCGGTGACTCCCCGCGGCCGTCGAAGAAGCTGCTGCAAGATCGGCGACGACGGGGGGGGCCTTCTCGCTGCTGCTGTCGCCAGCCGACCCCCCCGCCGCTGCCCCGCTAGGGGCCGGGCGTAGTCGTTTCACACGGCCATCCGAATATCAGCTAGCTCCCACTCCGCGTTGTTCACGGGCTCCTGGGGGCCACGCTTCGCCCGGCTCCCGCTCGCCTGGCCGGGCGCGTGCGCTGGCTGACTGTGAGCGCCCGGTCGGCTCCCCGCCCCGGCTGCGAGCGCGCGCATGCGTGTTCCTGTTCGTTGCCTGTCTGCAGGTCCGCAGCGCGGGTAGCATCGAGCAGAGCCGCCAGACCGGCCAGTTGAGTGTTCCAGTGGCCCGCGGATGTTAAAGGGTGCGTTAGCTTGCGTTTGTCGCTCTGGCCCACCAGCCTTCTCCCATCTTTGGAGTCGGCGCGCCAGTTTGCGCCAGCGTGTCCCGCGGGCGATTCTGCGCGCCCATCCGTGCGTCCACGTTGGCGGGGTTGAAAAGGCGCGCGTGTGTTTGCCTGCGCGCGCGTGCGTGGCCTAGTCGCCGTGGACTCCAACCCCCAAGCGCCGCGATGATTTCTCGTTGCGCCCGAGATAGGGACATCGCGCCACCCGACCGTGTTGGTGGCACCACTGATGCAATCAAGGTGGCGCGCGCTTGCTCTGCTCAGCCACGTGGCGCGCAAACGTCGCGGCCCGTCGGCGCTGCCTGGATCCCGTGCCCGCGGAGGTCGCGCCCGCGCAATTGAGGCGTTCGCCGCTGGCGAAGGGCCGGTCGCCTGGGCATCGGCTGCGACCGCCGAGGGGAGCGAGCCCGCGTCTGCGAGCACAGGGCCCCAGTTGCTTCCGCCGGCGACTGCGCGGGCTGCGTATTGGGGCGGCCCCGCGGGGAGCGTTTTGCTCTGTCGTGTCACTTGGACCTTCGCGTTAGCGCGCCCTTGTATTTGGCGCCAATTTGACAGATGGGTTTCGCTACGAATGGTAATCTTGAGTCGGCAACGCCTCCAGGTCGGCCGCGCTGCCCTGTTCAGTCTCTGTCGCGCCGCGTGGTGATCATCGGTTCGACCAGATGTTTGAGCTGTGGTCATTTTGTCCGTGTGTTGGATATATTTTGTGTGTTTAGTTTCGGGGCGGGCGCGCACTTTTTCAGCAACATCTTAGTCGGCCGCGACCGCTGTCTGAGGGCTGCGCGATTGTAATCTCAGTCACGGCGCTCTGGCCCTCCGCACGGCCCCCCCTCCTTCGCGCTGGTGCGCCTGGCGGCACTTGATCGGCGGAGGGCCACCGACGGACCGTTGGCTCTGTGGCAGTCCGTTGTTGTGCGCGGGCGGCGCCTCGCGAAACGAGGCACTGAGACACCGTGGTAGGTTCGTGGCTCTGATTCGGCAGGAACGACCTAGGCACGGAAAGAATGGGTAAGTATTATTATGTTTATCTTCTTATGATTTATTCGTATAAGTATACTCCTTATTATTATCACTATTCTTATTCTTATTATTATTAGTAGTATTCGTCTTCTTCATATAATTATGGAGACAAAGACCGGCAGCAGTTTTCGCCCATTTGATCAACAGGCCTCGCTGTCGGTGCCGCCGCGGGCGATGTCCATTTGAGACAGAAGGCCGCCTGCCCAACAGCGGCTGCTGTCGGATTTGGACAGAGTTTGTGGTCGGGCATCGTGCACATTTTTCCTGAGCCCATTCCGGGCGTTCAAATCGCCGGCGGCCCGTGCGTGTAATCTTCGATCCTCCGGCGCCTGTGAGATCGACCGCGTGTCAGCGCAGCCAAAGAAATTGGAAGCCACGCCCATTCGGAGGGCTCTAGCGGACACAGGTCATGAAGTAGTCCAGCCCTAAGTGAGACCAGTGCCAGTTGTTCGGTCCGCTTCTGAGTTGAGAGTCGAAGATGTTCCCGCCGCCTGACTGGACTGTCTAGCTTCACCGTGCAAGGCCGCGCGACCTGATATGCACCGCGCGTGTTACCCATGCCCGCCAGACACCATAGTCCAGAATCGTGTACTAAAGTGATGAGTTTCGCGATTCGAGGGCCCACAATCGAGTACCAGTGTTTTTTCTGCACCGCCTGTGGCCACTGCACTGAGAGTAAGAATTGTTACCTTTGCGGGCTTGCCAGGCCCTGTTTCCGAAATAGACGTCCAGCACTTCAGACCAGCACATTCTCTGAATGAAGCCGCGAGAAGGGTGAGTGCCCAGCCAGGCCATTCGAAGGCAACCAAAGAGTGCAGTTCGAGCAAGGGCATCCTCCGCGAGACGGCCACACGAGTAGAGCCCAGAGATTTCAAGGCAGAACCCGGTGAAGCCAAATCTGCGTTTGCATACATTTGTTGTAATTGCTGCTGCTGGTGTTGTAGTTGCTTTTGTTTTTGGTGCTGATGGTGTTGCTATGGTTGGTGGTTGTGGTTGTGGTTGCTGCTGCTTCTGTTGTTGTTGGTGGTGCTGGTGTTGGTGTTGTTGTTGCTACTGTTGTTGATGTTTGTGTTGTTGTTGCTGATGTTGCTGCTGTTGTTGTTTTTGGTGTAGTTGTGTTGTTTGTTGTTGTTGGTGGTGTTGCTGTTGCTGTTGCTGTTGCTGTTGCTGTTGTTGTTGTTGTTGTTGTTGTTGTTGTTGTTGCTGCTGCTGTTGTTGTTGGTGTTGTTGTTGTTGTTGTTGCTGTTGTTGCTGTTGTTGCTGCTGTTGCTGTTGCTGTTGCTGTTGTGCTTGTTGCTGTTGTTGTTGGTGGTGTTGTTGTTGGTGGTGGTAGTGTTTTTCTTGTTTCTTGCTGTTGTTGGTGGTGGTGGTTGTGGTGGTGGTGCTGATGCTGTTTGTGTTGTTGGTGTTGTTGATGATGGTGCTGATGTTGTTGGAGCTGTTGGTGATCGTGGTGTTGTTGTTGCTGCTGCTGTTGTAATTGGTCCTCTCGCTTTGTTCCCACCCCCGCTCAGAATCAGTTTGGCGCTCAGCGACTCGAATCGGTTAGCGCAGCCACTGGATTCCCAATCAAACGATCACCTGCCCGTTCCGCGATCGGCTCATTTGGATGGGTGGATCGCCTCCTGTCTCCCCCACCCCTCCCTTCTCCCTCTGGCTCTCTCCCTCTTCCCCTCCCTCTCCCCGTTGCCCTCTCCCTCTGCCCTGGTGCCTCATGGCAGGTCTGGTCTGCTCAAGGCTGGGCATACCGTCTCGTTCCGGGGGGTGGCGTGGGAAATAAGAGATCCCCTCGGCACTCGGGGAGGGAGCCGCTCAGATCGGGCGAAGAGGAATATGCACATACACTGATCCTATGCAGGGCCATCTTGCGCTCAGGATCGCTGCATATGCCTCACCGGCCAAGCCAGAAAGGCGGAAGTACCGATCCTGGGCCCAGGATTGGCTTGACCAGGATCTGTGCACGTGCACACCTTCCTTCCTCCCAGTATTGCGAGGCACGGCGTTTGTGCGAAAGCCATGTCCAGACGGACGGGCCCCGTCTCCCTCCTCCTGCTCCTCGCCCCTGGCCCGTTCCCATTGCCCCGCGTGCCCCTCGCCCAGAACTCCAGCGGGGGCAAGCCGTGGCGGTGAGGATTTGCCTTCCAGGCCTCCTAAGGGAGAGAAGTGCCACGACAGATCCCGATCCTCGATACTCATTCTCCCCTCCCTCCATGCCTGGGTCTGCCTCCCAGGAGCTGTTGTGATCCGATCGATCAGATTCGATGTCCATCTCCGCGGGCTCGATCCGATTCGATTCCCATCGCCCGCCGATCCGATGCGGCCCGATGCCTGCGTGGCGCTGTCGTGCGTCCTGGCGCGGCCACTCCGATTCGATCTCGACTCCGTGCCGATGCAGCCCGGTTCGACCCTTTGCTCCGATCCGGCCCGACGATGCTGACTGCTCCTGCCTCCTCGCCCGAGGCAGCCGCAGGCTGCGGCGCCGCCGCCGCCCGAGCCGCCGTCGGAGGCGCCCTCCGCCGAGGCGACCCCTCGGGTACGCGAGCGGGGCAGGGGTGGTTTCTGGCAGGCTCGCGCGTCCCCAAGGCAAGGGCACCGCCTGCCTGCGCTGTTCACGTCGGGGCGGATTTCTGTGCTCTGGGGGGTGGCTCTTCGTGGCCACAGCTGGGCGCAGCCCTGAAAAGCAGGCCAGGGCGGCCAGGAGATCGCGTCGAGGAGGGGGGCCCGGGGCATCGGCTCCGAATCGAGAGTTCAGTCGGGCCTGCCCCTCTACGGGAGGAAGATTCAAAACCAGTCAACAAAAATGTCTCGGGACGCTGCTTTGACGATGTTTGGTTATTCTGCATTCGTCCTCCAAAATCTGCCTCTAGGGGGACATGCCCGGCCTGAATCGAGGGATGCTCCGCATCAGGCAGGTGCCCTCGGCAGGCGCGCCTCCGCCTCGGCGCGGCTGCGAGCTCGGGCTTGGGCGTTCGGGGTCGAGCACCCTCCGCTCGTCCCGCCGCGAGCCGCGGGACTGGCTGCGAGCAGATGGGGTTGTCTCCTCCTCCTCCTCCTCCTCTTTCTCCTCCTCCTCCTCCTTTTCCTTCTTTTCCTCCTCCTCTTCCTACCCCCCGATCGCGATGCATCGCCGATGCATCGACGATGCGGTTCGATGTGGCGCCCGTGTTTCCCCAGGCCGACGTCGCCTACATCGCCGATGCATCGCCTATGCGTCCGGGATGCACTGGCGATGCGGCGCGATCCTTCGACCCCGTCTGCTCGGACCCCATCCAAGAGGCCTCTAGGTGTGTACTCTCGCATGTTCGTTTTTCGAGCGTGCCAGCGTCGATCAGCGTCTGTTGTTCGGGGAGGGCGCCGACTTAGGGTCTGCTAGAGTCGATGGAGCTTCGATTATCGTCGATCCGCAAGAGCCGACAAGATGGTATGGGAGGCTCCCATGAGTTGCCACACAAGCTCCGGGGAGGTGGGCTCGTGCAGGGGGCGCGCCTTCTGTCACGAGGGCCGTGGAGCGGAGTGCGGCGGAGGAGGAGGACGACAGGGATGAGGAGGAGGTGGTGGGAGGGAGAGTGAAGACTATCAGATTTCGATTAGGAGATCGACTACAGAATCGACCTACCCGAAATTTTTGACTTGTTCGTGGGGCCTACCAAAATATGTAGACTGTTCGGGGATCTACGCACCCTCTACGTATGCTTCGTATATCCAACGCAAATGTCAGATTTGAGGTACATCAATTCTGTACCTGTGATTTCACCGCACGCCAACGGTCAGAATGCGGAAGCATACCTGGGCTTGCTCAAGCGATACTTTGTTGCTGTATCGCGCGATGACCCAGCTGTGCCCAAAAATCAGGGTCCGAGGCCGGAATGGGGAAGGGTGGGAGGAGGATGAGGAGGCCGAGGGATGGGATGAGGATTAGGACAGGATCAAGAGGGTGAGGAGAGACACACAGGGAGAAGGAGCCTGAAGAGAAGTGGAGAATGAGAAGGGATGATGAGGTGCAGGAGCAGGAGGAGTAGGCGGAGGAGGAAGAGGAGGAGGAGGAGGAGGAGGCCACCCAACGAGGTGTAAAGGCGGTCGATGTTTCAGAAGAGCGCCCTCTCTGGCGCCTGTGAGCCGCTGGGAAGTTCGATCAATCTCCTCCATGGGCAACGGCCACAAGGGGAAATCATTTCGTCACGTCGTAAACAACCCTGGGGCCCCCAGCCTCAGCTTCATGCGAAAAAACACACACACAAGAAACGCCAGTGCCGTTGTCCTCCTATGCCTCGCGTGTGTGCCAGGCCAGACGCGCGTGCCGGCAAGGCTGACGGAAGCAGTCGCCCGGGGGAGCTCGTGACAGTTCGCGCGAGGGTGAGGCCGCCAGCACCACGCGCGAATCGCGGCACGCTCTCAGCGTGGCATCCCCTTGGGTCTTCTTCTGACTGTTTTCACATCGCCGCTGGCAAACAAGAGAATGCGTGCGGGGACACCTCAAGCGCGCCTGTTTTCCTCCGCCTCACCGTGCTCCTCCTCCTGCTGGAAACAGGCCTGCCGCCATCAAAGACTGCAGCCATGTGGCTGGTCTAACACATCTCGTTTCCCTGCCGCTCTGGAGCTTTGTTGGCAGCGGCGCAGTGGAAACAATCCTCCTCCCCCTCCTCCTCCTCCTCCTCCTCCTTGCACCCGAGCAGTTTTCTTTACTTGGGCCCCGGGTGGCCGCCCCAGAGAGACCTTTGCGAGGGCAGGTCCCGCATCCATATCTTCGCAGAGGCACTCCGTAGTTCACGGCTCTGTGTATAGGACAGGGGTCGTCGCGCGAGGTGACCCGACCGTCCCCCTACGCACCATGCCATCCCGGCTGAGCGGCGAGTCACTGCGCGACGAGGAACCTCCGCATACCCTATGTAGTCGGCCGCCGGGACGGGTGCTCTTTCACGGGCCGGACCGTGACCTGGCGCCCAGCTCCTCTCCACGTGCCAGGGTTGCTTTTGCATGACTCCACGACGCCTCCTCCTCCTCCGTTCCCCTTGTGTTAACTCGGGCCTGTCCCTCTACAGGGGGAATTTTCAAAAATAGTGTAAAGCAATAGTCCGGGGACGATGTTTTTGGTACTTTGGGGCAGTTCTGGTGTATTGCTTTATTCTTTTTGTTGCTCCGCCCGAGATCCCCCTGCAGGGGGGCACGCCCGGCTTCACCCTCGTGCGGCGGCGCCTCCCCAGGACGCCCCCGCGGCCGGATGGCCCCCCGGCGCCGGCCGCGGGCTGACGCTGCAGGAGGCCACGCGCCTGCAGAGGTGCGCCGCGCCCCGCCCCGCCCCCCGTCGGCTGCGAAGTCCGGACCCTAACCCGTGGCCGGTCGACGATTCGGGCATCTCGAGGGGCAGCTGCTGTAGGGCGAAGACACGACACGATATATATATATATATATATATATACATATATATATATACATACATACATACATACATACATACATACATACATACATACATACATACATACATACATACATACATACATATATACATATATATATATATATTTACATACATATATATATATATATGTATATATGTGTATATATATATGTGTATACACGCACTGGGTTCTGGGCATTTTTCCGACCTCTGCGGGCTGCTTTCGGGCCCTGGCGCCGACGAAGAGGGACCCGGGGGGAAGAATTACACCAGATGGGCCCCTGGAGGGTCCAGGGACCAGTTCGGGATTCGTCGAAGGTTTGACGAAATCCGACTCCGCCCCCCGCCGCCCATCGATGCAGGGAAATCGATGGTTGGTGGGGTGGGGTGTGGATGTCGCCACCTGACCCCACAGCTCCGCGCCTGGGGGCTTTTGGGGGTCTGGTGGGGGTCTGCTGTGGCCAGGAGCGCCGTGACGACAGGGCGTCTGTAGTCATGAGGTGTCGAATCGAAAAGCGAAAAGCCAAAAACTGCAGAAGTATCAACTTTCTGCGCTCCGTGCGGGTCCCTTGCATCGGCGCTGGGGCCCCCTGGCGGCGTCTCCGGCGCCGCCCCTGACGCGATCCGCGCGCCAGGGAGGATTTTCTTGCGCGGATCCAAGAAATTTGTGCCGCGCACGTCCTCGGAGTTTTCATTGTTCTATAATTGCCTATGGGGATTGGGGGAGTCTGCTGTGGCCAGAAGCGCCGTACGACAGGGCGACCGGAGTCATGAGGGCTCAGAGAGCTCAGGCACCAAGTTTGCAGCCCAGCTTCGCCAAAGGGCTGGGCGAGCCCGATATCACACTCACGAGTCCAAGGTGCGCTCAGCACTCATCAAGCATCGTCATCGTCATCATCGACATCGGGGATGTCCCCTGTGGACATCGTGGCATCGGTTCTTCGACTGCAGACGTATGTTTCAGGTATTCAGAGAATGCCCACTCAAACAAGTCGGTTGAGGAAATCTGCGCTGGTGCACTTGACAGTGGCATTCGGGCTTACCGGTACAGTCCCTAGTCGATATCACTAATCGACGTTCGTCTCGCCAGATACATTCGTTTGCTCTGGGACGTCGGTTAGCTAACCCACTGGGCTTCACTCGGTATGCGACGCCGTGCGTACGTGGAGTACCTTCACTAAAGTGCGTTCTGTCAACCTTCGAATGTCTAGGCCCCATATGGGCTCCGACTAGATGGGGTCGGTGAATCGCGCCGCATCGCCGATACATCGGCGATGCGGTTCGATGTGGAGTCCATATGCTCCACGCCAGCCGCGCCGATTCATCGACGACGTCAACGATGCATCACCGAGGCATTGCCGATGCATCTGCGATGCGGCGCGCGTTCCGCCGACCCCATGAGATCGGACTCCATTTGGGGGGGCCTCCATCGGCTGCACGCGAGAGGGGCCTCTCGTCGCGGAACAGGCATGTCTGTAGACGTAAACGTTTGGAGGTCTGCTCGGAGCCCCCTGGCGGCGCCTTTGGAGCCGCCCCCTGGCGCACGGAATAATGCCGTTTTGTTGTTCTTGTTTATACCGTTGTTTTATGTTGTCCTGTTTTGCCGTTTTGTTGTTCTGTTTTGTTGTTTTTGATTATTCGGCCCGATGGCGATGGGGGGATCAGGACATGGGGGGATGAGTATCCGGTACCGTTTTGTTGGGGTACAATTTGTACTTTCTCTGCGGGTTGCAAGTACAAATTGTACCTTCTCCCCCCCCGTTAACATCCTCGCACATGTCGCGGACGTTGTCAAAAGTACAATTTGTACCTTGTCTGCGTGGCGTCGGTGCAAATTGTGCCTTCTCCGTGGGGCGTAGGTACAATTTGTACCTCGGTTGCGCCTCTCTTCCCATCTGGACCTATCCCCCCATTTGCATCCCGCCAAATTATGTTGTTTCTGTTTATGCCGCTGCTTTCTGCTTCTGCCGACCCCCGAGTGAGCTGCGCACGGACTCGGAGGGAAGGTGCTCTGCAGCGACCCCCCCCCTGCGGAGCGTGCGGGCGGCGCGGGCTGCCCCGCGCGTGCCCCCTGCGCGCCCCGCCGCGGTGCAGATGCCACGGCGTGCTCGCTTCCCCCCCGGCGTATTCGGCGACGACGCTCGAGGGGCTCATTGATCGCGTTCTACGACTCGCAGAGTGCCTACGCGCAAGCGTCCGAACAAGAACACACTGTGTGCCTCGATGTGATGGGTCGTGAGTCCCTCGCGCCGGATCCAGGCCATTTGCGAGTAGTTTGTTGGCGTGTACAAGGACAAACATTGCATACACCGGGTTTCGTAACAAAGTCGGGGGGGGGGGTCACAAACCTCCCATACGAGCCCTTTCAGACCCCCCCGTTTGCCCCCCCCCCCTGGCCGCGCCCAGACGAAGCGTTCCAGACCCCCCCGCGGCGGCGACCTCGGCGAAGGCGAACCTGGCGCAAACCTGGAGTAAACAGAAACGTCCGCCGCTCCGCGCGGACTTCTTGGATCGGCGCTCAAGCCCGCCCTCCGGCGGCGCATCCGGCCCTATAGGGAGGGGGGCCCAGCCCCGCTCGAAGAAATCCGCGCGAAGCTCCCGAGATACCTGCTGATGAAATTCTTGTTGATCCCTCTAGACGTCGACGACCTCCGGAGGTCTCCAGATATGGGGAGGCCCCGAGATTCCCATGGAGGTGCAACAAGGGGTGGGAACGCCAGAAAACAGCCTCGATGGGTCGGGGGTGGACAGACCTCCTACCCTGACACGCCGATTGAGGAATTTGCCGTTTTCGTTTCGCGAGAGGGCGTCGCGGCCGTCATTTTTGCGGGTCCAGGTCCGTCGGTTTCGGTCCCAGGCCGTTCTCACTTAGGGGAGGTATACGACAGGGAGGTCTGTCCACCGCCGAATGGGATTTTCCCCCTTGCTCCTCTCTCTCCTCCTGGTGCGACGACGATCCTGAAGCCCGAAACGGCGAAGGCGGCAAGACGACGACGGCGGCGATGACGACGTTACGATGGAGAAGAGGACGAGCTTGACGACGACGGCGTCTCCCCCTCCTCCGGGTTCGAGCGCAGGGAGCTCACCGACCACTTCGATCCTCAACCTTGTCACGTTCCCTCCAGGCCGCCTGACGTTCAGCATCGATCCTCCTCTTCCTCCTCCGCCTTCCTCATCTTCTTATTCATTCCTGATCCTCCTCTGCCTCCTCCTCCTCCTCCTCCTCCTCCTCCTCCTCCTCCTCCTCCTCCTCCTCCTCCCACTGCGAGCGCAGGGAGCTCATAGACAGCTTCTCCAGCGACGAGTTCCAGGCGTGCTTCCGGGAGGTGCAGAGGTCCTTCTACAGGAGCCTCCACCCCCGCCTGCCCCCCCCCGGGCTGGAGCGACCACTCGGGCCACGAGAGACCCACGCCGCGCACACGTGATCCCACCACCCTCCCGCGCCTCATCCTGCCTCCCCGTTGCCCCCCCTTCCCCTTCCCTCTCCGCCCTCCTCCTTGTCCCCTTCCTCCCTCGCCCTCCTCCTCCCTTTTCCTCCTCCCTCCTCCGCCTCTCCTCTTTCCCCCCTCCTTGCCCCATGCCTCCCCTCTCTCCCCCTCCTCCGTTCCTCGCCCCTCGAGGCCAGGAGACATGGAAGTGGGGGAGCAGGTTTGCGGCGCGCGAACAAGGGTTGCCCCCCCGAGGTTCGGGTCGGGCGAAAGGGGGGGATTGGGAAAGGGGGGGTTACAAACTTTGCTGCATGCAGCTGGTTTCGGCCCCGCCGAGGGGCCCATTCCTCGATACATAGCCGCCTCCGGCGCCGGGAGGCGCCGGGAAAATCAGCTACGCGAGCTGATTCTCAAACCCCCCCTTTGCTATCCCCCCTTTTCGCCCGACCCGAGAGGTCCGCGCGGGTCGGTTGATGCGCGCATGGGCGCGCTTGCCGTGGGTCCTTGACTTCGCGGAGCGCAGGCCAAGGCGGCGCTCCCTTGACCCGAGGCGCTCGGAGCCCCATGATTGGGCCTTTCCTGTGGCAGGTCGCGCGTTCCACGACCAGGCGGGGCTGGCCCCGCTCTTGGGCGCGCCCGCCGATCTGCGGACGAACTTTGGCTCGCCCTCGTCCGCCTGGAGTGGTTCGTCGGGCGAGGCCCGGCCCCCCGCCAGGACTTGGCGGCGCCGGCGGCGCGCGCGACCTTCCGAGGAGCCTTTTCGCACGGCTTGCAACTGTCGGGGCCCTTGCGCCAGAAGTCGCGTCGCGGGGGGGAAGGGCCAGGCGCGCGCGGCCGGCGCCCGTCGGGGCTCTCGGGTAGGGGGGCGGGAGCCGCGCCGCTAGGGGGGCGGCCGGTCGCGCGCTCCGTGTGCGCGAGGAGCGGCACGCGGGCAGAAGGCGCGTTCGCTGGCCCGGGCCGGCGCCGACGTGAAGCAGCGAGGAACAGTTTCGCCCCGTAACCTCGCTCCTTCTCCCCGCTCCTCCAAGTCCTCGCTCGCCCCTTGTCCCTTCTCCATCTCGGCGCCCCCCTGGTTCTTTCCCCTTCCCCCCCTCCCGTAACCCCTCCCGCGGCGCATCGCGAGCCGCAGTGGGGACTGCCCCCCCTGGGCCATCGCAAAGCCGCCTTGGACGCGCGCGCGCACGCCCGCACAGGCGCGCGCGCGCGCGCGCTCGCCCTCCGCCGCGCCCCCTGTCCAAATCTGCGGGAGGAGCGGGGAGTTTGAGTTTGCGCCTGCGCGACGTGCTTGCAGCACTGGAGGCGTTCCGCCTTGGCGTCTCCTTGGCGGCGTTCCGCGCTAGCGCGGGCGCGCTTGCTGCCACTGGCGGTGCCTGTGTGCAGCGCGTCTGGAGGCCTTCTCTGGCGCCGTCTCCGTAGACCTCGCGTGGCGCTCCGTCTATGGGATTTTGTGGGGCGCCCTGCGCGCAGACGCGCTTGCTCCGTCGTGGAGCCTGTGATGGCGCCCTCTCAGAGCCATCTTGGACGTTTGAGCCCCTCGCGAAGCCGCGAAGCCCCGCGCCCAGACCCACCGGGCGGGAGCAGAAGAGGGGGGGAATGAAGGAGTCCTGTAAACCGCTCGCGTCCCGGGAGGACTTCGAGCACCAGGGGGGGGCCCAGGAGCGCCCCGAAGAGGAGCCTCAAGATGGCCTGGGAGACCCTGGGGGGGGGTCGAGGAAGTTCGTACTCCTCCCACTCTCCCCGCTCCTCCTGCCCCTGCTGCTGCTCATTGCGGCTCCAGCGCGCAAGCCCTCGATTCCAGGTGCCTCAGCGGGCCCTGCACCGTGCGTCCGCGCGCTCGACATGCCAGGGTTGCCCTTGCTCCGCGACGCAGGGCCGCTGGCCGCAGCACAGGGCAGCGCGCAGCGACGGCAGGCGGCGGCAGCCGGAGGCAGATCGCTGGCGCAAGCAGTCGCAGTCGATGCGCCTCGATCGCATTGCATGGCGAAGCGCCGCGAGGAGGCCACCTCCTCCTCCTCCTCCTCCTCCTCCTCCTCCTCCTCCTCCTCCTCCGCCAGGGCCCCAATAAACAGAGTTGGAGGGCGCGCCGTGCCGGCATTGGGGGCGGCAGCGGCACGGAGCGAGCGAGTCGGCGAAGCCCCAGCGACGATCCGCGCGGCGCTCGCGCGTCCGGCCGCCGCGGGGCGGAGGGGGTGCGCGGCCATCCCTCGCCGCGAGCACGGGCGGCCACCGACCGCCGGGGACGCCGGGGCCATGGCGACGACGAGGGGCGCCGCGGCCGTGATCGCAGCCGCGGCCGCTGCAGGGGCGATCGGGGCCCCCGCGGCGATCGCGGCCGCAGCCGTGACCAGTGGGGCCTCGGCAGCCGCGGCCAGCGTCGCGACGGTCAGCGTGGCGAGCCTCGGCCGACGGCGAGGGTCGCGACGGTCGGCGTGGTGACCAGTGGAGCCTCGGCCGACGGCGAGGGTCGCGACGGCCAGCGTGGCCGTCGTGTGCAGCGCCGTGGCGAGGGGCGCCCCGGCCGCGACGGCGACCTGGGGCACGGCCGGCAGCCCGGCCGTGGCACGGGCGGGCGGCGCAGCCGTCGCCCCCGCGGTCGCGCGTCCCCCGCGGGGCCAGTTTCGGCAGATCCTCGCTGATCCCACCACCCTCCCGCGCCTCATCCTGCCTCCCCGCTGCCCCCCCTTCCCCTTCCCTCTCCGCCCTCCTCCTTGTCCCCTTCCTCCCTCGCCCTCCTCCTCCCTTTTCCTCCTCCCTCCTCCGCCTCTCCTCTCTCCCCCCTCCTCCTTGCCCCACACCTCCCCTCTCTCCCCCTCCCTCCGTTCCTCGCCCCTCGAGGCCAGGAGACATGCAAGTGGGGGAGCAGGTTTGCGGCGCGCGAACAAGGGTTGCCCCCCAAAGGGGGGGATAGGGAAAGGGGGGGGTACGACATCTGCTGCATGCAGCCGGTTTCAGCCCGACCGAGGGGCCTATAGGCCTCGATGCGTGGGCGCCTCCGGCGCCGGGAGGCGCCGGGAAAGTCAGCTGCGTGAGCTGCTTCTCAGCCCCCCCCTTTGCTATTATCCCCCCCTGTCGCCCCAGCCCGAGATCCCTGCGGACCTCCAGAAGAGCATGAGGATGATGGGGGAACCCCGCCGCCGCAGCGAAGCCCGACGGCGGAAGAGGGCGCCGGCCAGCGCGCGCAGCGCAGGGGCGGAATCGGAGGCATCGCGGCCAAAACAGCCGGGCGCAGCGGATGAACCCGTCACGCTTCGGCCAGAGCAGCGGCCGGCACAGCAGCCAGAGCAAGTCCAGCTCCATTCCCAAGTCAGCCCAGGGCAATCAGCCCGCGGCCCCGCGCTTCCCATGTAGACTCGCTCCCGAGTCAAACATCCAGCCCGACCCACGCGTTTTTCCATTAAGAAGCCTTCCCAACTCCAGTTACCCCCAGCCGCCGCGCGACCCTTCAACCCCCCCCCAACCCCCGAATGCTCCCCAATCTCGGCGCTTTCCGTTACCGACCCCTGACTCTTTCCGAACACCATCGTTGTCGGCTTCACATGTTTTTCCATTCCAAAATTCCGGGGGCCCCCATGAAACTCCCTCCCAACTCCAAGATCCCCTCCAACCCCGGCGCCGCCCATTGCAAACGCTGTCCAACTCCCGACTCCGCCCCGAACCCAGCGCAATCTTTCTAGAACCCTCTCCAAATCCAGAATTCTCACACGAGCGCAACGTTTTCCAGTCAAAATCCCCCCAAGTCCAAAGTCCTTCCCCGCTGTAGCGCGAGCAAGTTAGATAGAATTCCCCCAACTCCAAACTCCCCGCCAACCTCGGCGACGTCCCCTGTCAAGCCGCGCGCTTGCAATTCAGAATCCGCCCCGATTCAAAATTCCTTCCGAACCCCAGCTCTTTCAGTTCAAATCCACACCTAATTCGATGACCCCCCCCCAGCTCCAGCGCTTTCCATTATAAGAAACCTTCACAAGTCTAAAACCCTTCAACCCCCCAGCGATTTCCCTTGTACGTGCTCCCAAACTTCAAAATCCTTCGCGACCCCAGCGCCTTCTACTTACAACCCCATTCGAGAAACTCCTCGAACCCCGTCGCTTTCCATCTTCAAATCTTTCTCAACTCCAAACTCCCCCCCAGCCCCAGTGTTTTCCATTCCTGCCAATTTCCCCACTTCTCCCAAACCCAGCGTGTTCCTTTGATCATTAAGCCCATCCCAACCGCAGCGCTTTCTACATGATTGTTGCCCCCAATTCCAAGTCCATTCCTAACCCAGGCGGCTTGCATTCAAATTTCCACCCCCATCTTCAAGATCCTCCCTGAAGCCAGAGCTTTCCATTTAGATTCCCGACCAACTCCAAACAGCCTTCCCAGCCCCGGCGCTTTCCATTCAAAACCTTTACCGACCCCCAAATCCTTCCAGGCCCAGGCGTTTTCCAATGCAAGTCCCACCCAACTCTGAAATCTTTTCCCAACCCAGCGCTGTCCATATTGAATTCCCCTCAACTCCAAAGTCCTTCCCATTCCCAGCGGCTTCCTTTTGAAAGCTTTCCCAACTCCCAAATCCCCCCCGACCCGAATGCTTTCCGCTTGACGTCCGTCCAAATTCTAGAGCCCTCTCCAAACGTGGCGCTTTCCGTCATGAAGTCCCCCCAATGCCATCATTTTTCCAAACCCAGCGTTTTCAATATGAAGTTCGTTTGTATCAAAAAATAAATATGATAGTAATGGTAAGAATAATTCAGCACCTGGCCCAAACGCGACACTTTCCACGCACCCCCCGCCCCCAAATTCCAGGGCCCCCCCCCGATGTGAGAATCCCCCCCAAATCCAGAAATTCGCCCCACGCAAAGCGCTTTCCATGAAAAGCCCTTCCCAACTCACTGCTCACACCCAGCGCTGCCCTTTCAAAATCTCGCCCATGTCAAAAACCTTCCCCGCCTGGCGCTTTCCATTTGAAATTTTAGACGCTTCGCGTAACCCCACCAGCCTGTCCCGACTTCCTGGTGCTTCCGACGCCATGCATACTTGCACGCTGGCAGTACGACTCAGTTTCAGCTGCCCCCTCCACTCGCCGGTCCGCCGCTGAGCTGCTGCGCGAGGCCCCGGTTAGCCGCTTTAGGTGTGGCCACCCTCCGTTGCTTTAGTTTAATTCGTCGCTGCGTGCCCCGCTTGAACTGGACTCGCCGCCGGCGCGATCGCCCGCGGCCGCTGACTAAAAAAGTATCCCCACCAGCCAGTCCAGAAACGATGCCCAGAGGAAGTGCCTCGATCAGGGAAGTGGGCAGCACACAGATGAAGGGTCCCCCAGTGGAGGCATCTTGGGGCGCCTTGGGTGCCTCGGAGAGCGTCTCTTGGTAGCATCTTGGAGGCCTCTTGGGCGCCTGTTGGGGCCTCCTGGGCGCCTCTTGGGGCCCTCTTGAAGCGCTCTTGGGAGCCTTGGGAGCGCTCTTGGGGCCATCTTGGAGGACATCGCTCGAACAAGCAGCGAGCATTAGTTAGCGTTGCCCCTCGGGAGCCCAAAGAATCGCCTCTTGGGGCGCTCTTGGGGCGCTCTTGGAGCGCTCGTAGGCTCCCTTGGGGCCGTCTTGGGGCCCTCTTGAGCCTCCCTTGGAGCCCTCTTGGGCCATCTTGGAGCCATCTTGAAGCCTCGGATGGCCATCGGAAGCGAAAAGGCGAGAAAGCCAAACACATAGATGTTCATAAGGTTTTGGCCTCTTCGGGGCCTCCTGGGGGAGCTTTTTGGCCACTTGGAGCCGTCTTGGAGCGGTCTTGGGGCATCCTGGAGCATCGTGGGAGCCATTATGAGACATCGTGGGATCTCTCGAGCCATTTGGGAGGTCATCTTGTGCTCTCCCGGGCGCTCTTGGAGTCATCGTAATCAGTGCCCCCCCAAGAGGCCAACATGTGGCTAAAACCTTAGTGAAATCAATGATTTGACATTCTCGCCGAGGCCTCTTGGAGCATCTTGGGTGCCTCTGGGGGGTCTCTTGGGGCCTGTTGGACGTCTACTGGGAGCCTCTTGGGAGCATCCTGGGGGCCTCTTGGGGCTTCCTGGCCACCTCTTGGGGCCCCCTTGGGGCACCCTTGGGAGCCTTGGGGGCCATGTTTGGGCCATCTTGGATGAGATCGATCACAGGATGGGGGGGTGCCTAATTTGCTCCCCCCCCCCCCTTTCAGGAGGCCAATCGTACAACCAATGATTTTGGCTTCCTCGCCGAGGCCGTTTTGGACGCTCCGACACCTCGCGGACCCCCCCCGTCCAGGTCCAGGGGACGGGGTAGGGGGAGGGATAAACCCCTCCCCGAAGGGGAAGAAGGAGGGGTGGAAGAGGAAACTCCCTAAACCACCTACGCCCAGAGGGCTGGTGGGTTTCCCTTAACTCCAAAATCAGTCCTAAATCCAGCGCGCTCTATTCACGTCGCCCCCAACTCCATAATCTTCCCCAAACCGAGCGCGTTCTATTTAAGTTCCCTTCCTACTCCCAAATTCGTTCCCAACCTTGGCGTTTTGAATTCAACACCCCCCAACCCCAAAGCCCTTGCCAACCCAAGCGCTTTCCATTGAAAGACCGCCCCAACTCCAATATTGGCCCCGAGCCCAGCGCTGTACATGTAAACACTTCCCCTACTCCAAAGTCCTTCCCATCCTCGCAGCGTTTCATGCAAAACCCCACTATCCCCGACCCGCCCAACACCCCAGCCCGCGCCCCATAAACCTCGTCCTAATTTCAAAGCCCTTCCCAAACTCCAGTGACTTCCATGCAAACTCACTCCCGTTTCCAAAACCCTTTCCAACCTTGGCGCGTTCCTTTTCAAACCCCGTTCCCAACGTCAGAATCCGCCCTGACCCCAGCGCTTTCCTTTTTCACCCCCCCAACTCAGAATTCTTCCCCAACCCTGACGCTTTCCATTAAAAACCTTCCCCGAATTATGGCTGGCCCTGGCGCTTTCGATTGTACTCCGTCCCATTTTACAGGTCCTTCCCAAACCTGGCGCCTTCGATTCAAGATCCATCCTAGACCCAAGAATCCATGCCAAATCCAGCGCTTTCCATTCAAAATCCGCCCCAATACCACGAGCATCCCCAACTTCGGCGCCTTCCATGTCAAATCATCCTCAACTCCAAACACCTTCCCAACCCCAGCGCCCTCACTTCGATATTTTCCCAAAGCAAATCCATCCCAACCCCAGCGCCTTCCATGAACAATCCGTCCCAACTCCAGAGTCCTTTTTACACCCAGCGCATTCCACGTAAACTGCATCCCAAGTCCAAGATCCTCCCCAACCCCGGCGCTGTCCAGTCAAAGTCCTTCCGAATTCCCAAATTCTTCTCAAACCAAGCCCGTTCCACTTAAGATCTTCCCCGACTCCAAAATTATCCCCAACCCCAGCGCTGTTGCATGTGCATCCACTCGTGCACGCGTCTGTAATCTTCCACCAAGGCAGGTTTCGATCGTTACACCACCTGACAAGTTGCTCAGGGAGGCGAGTGAGGTAATATGAAAATCCGGCTAGAGTGCTAAATACATTTTCTCAGCGCCGCCGCGCGCCATCGAAGGCAAATCCTCATATGAGCCGCATGCGAGCTGCAAGCTGCGAAGCACTTGGCGAGGCCATCCTCCGGGTCCGAGGCCGCAGTGGGCCTGATGATTTGTGTTCGGCCGAATTTCTGCCAGACCTTGTCGTCTTCCATCGCTCTAAAGACAACCCAGCATAACGCTTGACATTTCGCTGCCACGAACCCACCCTCCCGCCCACAAACATATCATTTTGAACAAGAGCGTCTTTTCAAGTGGCTCCAAGTGGCCACAAGAGGTCCACATGATGCCCGAATGGGCACCACCGAGGCCGCAAAGACGCTCCAAGCAGTCCCAGCGAGCTCCCAGGAGCCGCCCCAGAGGCACCCAGCGCAGAAGATGGCCCCGAGAGGCCCTCAAGACCTCCCGAGAGGCCCCCAGGAGAGTTGCAAGATGTCCCCAACACGCGTCCTGAGCGGCTCTCGCGTGCAGGCGCAAGCCTCGGAAGCGCACCGGCGGCGGAAATGTAAGAACACAGAAATCACAAATTGTTCTGGGCCTCCCGAGAGCTCCCTGGGAGCTCGTGGGGAAATCTGTCAAGACCCTTGGGGCGATCATGGGTTCTCTTGGGGGCTTTTGGAACCAATTTGAAACAAATGAATTTACTCAAATCCTTTTTTTTCTGGTTCGACCCCCTCCCGTTCCCCCGAGCATGTGTCCTTTCCCCCGCCCCTCGCTTTCTTCTCCCGTCTCTCTCGCCTACCCTTGGTCCTCCTGCGATTCCCGTTTCACATCCGTCTCTTTCCTCCCCGTCTCTTCTTCGCGCCATCTATTCTCCGCCTCCCTCATGCGATTCCGTTTCTTCCATCTCTTATCCTCATCTTTCTCGCGCTCCCCCTCCCTCCGCCGCTCTCGCCGAGCATCCTGCGCCACTGCGTGGCAGGAGACCCACTTGACAAAGAACGGAAATCGCTCAAATCCAGTTTTTAAAAGGTCGAGCCCAGACGCCAACAGCCCCGGGGAGGCCCCGAGGCGCACCCAAGAAGTCCTAGGATGCAACCAGGAGACCCCCAGCTTGCAAGAGCCCTCCAATGACGTCCCCCAGGCATCCAAAGAGACTCCCCCGCCCTGGCGAAGGGCGAAGGGCGAGGGCATGGGCGAGCGGCGGCGCGGGGCCCTCGGGGCGCCACTGCCGCGACGTGATCCCGCTGGGCAGCCCGCAGGGAGACCTCCCCGCGGAGGGGGGGGGATCGCCCTCGAGGGATCGAGGGATCGAGGGATCGCCCTCGAGGGATCGAGGGTGGAGGATCGCCCTCGAGGGATCGAGGGATCGCCCTCGGGCATCCCCCCCAGGGTGCCCTGGGTTCTCCGGTCCTCCACGTGGCTGCCTCGCTCGCCTCCACGGGGCCTTCCTCGATGTTCTCCAGAAAACTGCCAGGGGAATCGCCCTGCACGCATACCTATGGCGCGACGTCGTGCTGGACGTCGCCTCAAATAGAAGAGTGAGCCGCGTCGTCTGTCACTGGACGTACCGCATGTCGCGCATCATCTCAACGCTTTCCAGCAAGGCACAGTACGGCCTAAGGGATCCCCACGGCCGCGCCCGATACGGCTTCGACTGACTTTGGCGGCCATTAGAGGGTTTGAGTAGCCCAATCTCATTGGCCCTTAGGGTTGCCAAAGACCTCCCAAGCACCTCCGAAACAGTTGGAGGGGCCCTCGAGACGCCTAGGTGATCTTCAAGACCGCTGAAGACGGTCCACAGGCCACGAGTTTCCGACACCTCCCAAAAGCTACCTTGGGGCAGCTGCTCGGTGTATCTGCTCAGTACAGCAGGATCTCGTAGAGCCTGCTTATTCAGCATCTCCTGAAACGTCCATCTGGAAGTACGCTCCCGATTATGTGAGGTTGGCTTGGACTGCCCTGGAACCCAGGCGCGCGCGCGAAGTGCGCTTGGTTTTTTGGTTTAAAATTATTTATGTATCTTTATATATATATATATATATATATATATATATATATACTGGACTGTGCTTCCCTCCATCTCGTTTGCCTCTGTCCCGTCGCCTCGCTCGCTGACCCCCTGCACGCGGCAGGAAGAACCTGAAGCACTACAGGTTTCATCGCCAGAAGTTGCTGCACAGCGTCCAGACGAAGGTGTTGCCTAAGTACCCCTGCGCCCTCACGCTTTCGTCGCTTGGAGCATGCACCAGCAGTCCTGTACCAAGGATTGGCCTGGCATCGCTCGGATCTATGTGGCCAAAAGCTTGGGCAAACTTTGGCCATTGGACAATGCGTTCCTGCAGCCGTTGTGGGTTCTGTCCTAGCCCGGCCACGCTATCGGACTATATGTTCCCCCAGCCGTTGTGGAAACCTTTCGGGGCACACGTGGGGGAGAAATGATTTTGACAATCAGATTAAGAAGAAACATAAGAATGCTATTAATAACAATCGGCCAATTATATAATAATATTAATAATAATAATAACAGTAATAATAATACGAAGAAGAAACAAGGTGGAGGCTTCTAGGGAAGGACAAGGATGAAGCGGATGATAGGAAGGACAAAGGAGGAGGAGGCTTCTTGGGAACCCATTTTGGGCACCCTTGGGGTCTCCTGGGAGCGTCCTGGGGGCCTCTTGGAGGCCTCTTGGAGGCCTCCTTGGGCCTTTCGGGTGCTTGGGAGCTTCTTGGGGGCCTCTTTTGCCGTCTTAGGGCGTTCATGACCCGTCTGACGCTGTCGGAAGCCGTCTTTGGAGTCTCTTTGGGCCTTCTGAGGGCCTCCATGGCCGTCTTGGAGGCTTTCTTGGGCGCCTCTTGAGGTACTCTTGGGGCCGTCTTGGGAGCCACTTGGGCGGTTATAGGGCCATCTTGGAGGCCTCCCAGGCGCTCTGGGGGCGACCTAGGGTCTCTTGGGCCGGCGTGGGCCATCGGAAGGCCGAAACGAAGCAAATGCTAGAATATTTCAAACACACAAAGGAAAACTGAGTTTGGCCTCTTTGGGCCCTCCTTGAGAGCCTCTTGGTGGTTTCTTGGTCCGCCTTGGAGCCCACTTGGGGGCCTCTGGGGCCGTCTTTGGCCGTCTTGGAGGCTTCTTGGGCGAACATGGAGGCATCTCGGAGTCTCGTGGGCCGTCTTGGGGGCCATCTTGGACCACCTTGGGCGAACTTGGAGGCCATCCTGGCCGTCTTGGGAGCCATCTTGGAGCCAGAGAGGGTGGACCTGGCCCCGCTACGAACATCTACCGACGGTACTACACTAGCTCTACTCGGAAATGTTCGCGAGGACGATCATCAGATGGACTTCGGCCCATCCCGCCATCGTGCCTGGGTTGTGGGTATGGAGCCTATTGGATGTTTGTTGGGATCTCGTGGGAGGTCTCTCGGAGTTTTCGTGGAGGCAGTCTGGAGGCCTCCTGGAAGCCGCTTTGGGGCCTGTTGGGGCCTCTTGGATGCCTCTTGGGGGCCTCTTGGGGCTTCCTGGGCGCCTCTTGGGGGCTGCTGGGCGCATCTTGGGGCAGGAGGCTCGGATTTTTGGCTCGTGCTCCTTCTCTTGGGCCCCTTTTGGGGCGGTCTTGGGCGCCTCTTGGGCCGTCTTGGGGCGCTATTAGGCTGTTGTGGGGCCCGCTTGGAGGCCTCTTGGGCCGTTTTGGGGTGGTCGTGGGGCCTCTTGGGCCGTCTTGGAGCGTTGGAAGGCCGAATAGGCGAGAACGCCAAATCCTTCAAAACCTACCAGGAATTAATGATTTTTGCCTCTTCGGGCACTCCTGGAGAACCTCTTGAAGGCCTCTGGGGCCGTCTTGGAGCCCTCTTGAGGGCCTCTTGAAGGCATCATGGAATCTTGTGGGCCGTCTTGGAGGCCATCGTGGACCGTCTTGGGCGAACTTGGAGGCCATCTTGCTCTTCTTGGGAGCCATCTTGGGCCATCTGGAGCAGGAAATCCTTTGCAGCTGGGTTCGGGCAAGTCTTACGGGTGGCCAGCACGCTGGGCCGAAGCCCCAGGGGGAGCTTCAACATGAATTACAAACGTTTAAGAAGACTAGCATGCGCGGCCTTTTGCAGGCCTCTAGGAGGCCTCTGGGGACGCATTGGCGGATTCTTGGGCCGTCTTGGGGCCAGCTTCGGCGTCTTGGGACGATCTTTCGACGACACGGGGCCTTCTTGGACCGTCTTGGGGGCCTCGTGGGGCATTCTTGGCCCATATTGGGGCCCTCTTGGGCCCGAAAAGCTTATGCCACAACACGCGGGAAGCCCCAACAGATTTCGGAATTTGGGTCCGGGGCCTTCCGCAGGACTCAGGACTGAGGCTCCAGGGATTAGGCGAAGCACCTGAGCACACGCCCACTCCGTGCCCAGTGGCACGGTGGCGGATCTTGATTATTTATCTACGCGAGAAACAACACTTTTTACCTGACTCAGGGGCCCTTCGATCATAAACGGCAATAGTCAACAGCATACTGAATGCAGACTGCTTCAAATACACATCTCTGCTAAACAACACGCGAAGAGACTACACAGAACAAGCAGACCTACGTATCACCCCGCAGTTGCGGATAAGAGTGATGGGGGTGGCGATGACGTCGGCAGTTTGCGATGCTCTGGAGAAGCTCGCCGCAGGCGCATTATGCAGTAAGCTCGCCGCAGGCGCCGATTTCTCGTTAAAGCCATGTGGGTGGGTCGGATGGTTGGTCGCGGGTGGGTCGCGGGCCGGGTCGCGGGTGCTTCGCGGGTGGGTTGCGCGTGGGTCGTGGGTGGGTCGCGGGCGGGTCGCGGGGTGGTTCGTGGGTCGGTCGAGGAATGGGTCGCGGGGTGGGTCGCGGGTGGGTCGCGGGCGAGTCGCGGGGTGGGCCGCGGGATGGGTCGCGGGGCGGGTCGCTGGGTGGGTCTTGGGTGGGCGCGGGTGGGTCGCCGGTGGGTCGCGGGGTGGATCGCAGAAAGAGTCGCGGGTTGATCGCGGGTGGGTCGCGGGGTGGGTCGCGGGTGAGTCGCGGGGTGGATCGTGGAAAGAGTCGCGGGTTGATCGCGGGTGGGTCGCGGGGTGGGTCGCGGGTGGGTCGCGAGGCGTGTCGCATTTGGGACGACGCCAAACAACAACAAACAAACAAACAAACAAACAATCAACCAAACAACAACAACACCAACAACAACACCAACAACAATAATCCGCATCGCAGAATCCCATTGCAGCAGGGACAGTGAATGACCGTTCGGCCCCTCCTCACTCTGACCAGTATAATTAGATTCGCATTGACACCGTCATCCCTATCACATAACGGCACAATGGTCGCGGCGCGCCCTCGCAAGGTCAGAGACTGTGCCGCATGTGTACTGCTTTTTGAAATAGGTGGTGGGCCTGCAAAAGTGGGGGCACTATGCTACCCCCTCTCGTCCCTGTCCAAACAATACACCGTGATCGCGGGGCGTCCGACCATGATCCACATTTTGCCGTGAAGTTCACCTTGCACTGCTCTTTGTCAAGGATGGTGGGGGGATGGCGGCATGGAGTGGGCGAGGGGGTGTAAACTAATTCGCAGCAGTGATCAACCCACTCCCAAGGATTGCTGCAATCCGTCGTGGTCACTCATACCCGCCCTCCCACCGCATAAGCAGCACCCGAGTCTCAGGGCCAGGTTCGCGGGTACACGTGACTGTGCCAGCATGACGCGTGGCGCATCCTCCCGCAATGTTGGTTTGTTTCTGGCAGGGCTGGTGGGCCCGCGCGCACGAGATATGCGAGCACGCGGGCACCACCACAAGCCCTTCAGCAATGAGAATGCACCGTGATCACGGGGTTCCTGCGCATGTTCCTGTTCCACGAACGAGGCTTGCACTCAGAGGTCCTTGTTGTCATTCGTTACGTGCTTGGTTGGGTATTCCATGTTGTCGGCCGCGTCGCGGGCCCATGCCGCAGCGTGGGCGGCGCCTCGTGGGCGCCCCGCGTTTTGGGGGTTAGGCCGAGGTTGCGCCGCGTTTCGGGCCGTCTGCGGTTGGGGGGCATGCCGAGGTTGCGCCACGCTGCCGCCCGTGAGCGCCTCGTGGGCGCCACGCGGTTGGGGGCTGTGCCGAGGTTGCGCCGCGTTATGCCGCCTCGTGGGCGCCTCGCGCTTGGGGGGGAGGCCGAGGTTGCGCCGCGTTGCCGTCTCCTGTGCCGCCCTGTGGGCGCCCCGCGCTCGGGGGGGAGGCCGAGGTTGCGCCACATGTTGCCGCCTCGTGCCCGCCGCATGGCCGCGCCTCGCTGGAGCCCCACATAGGTTATACCGCTCAACTTGCACATTATAGCTAACATCACATATATATATATATATATATATTCCCCTTTCGATTAAAAAAAAAAAGTTCTACCAC